AGGGCCCTGGGGGGGTGGGGGCCCCCCCCCCCCCCGCCGCCGAGTGCACAAATTTTTGTGCACCGGGCCTCTAGTCTATGTATAAAAGTGTAAAGTTTAGGTCTAGGTTCATTTCCTTGCATATAGATGATGAATTGTTCTAACACCTTTTTTTTTGGAAAACACTTTCACCCTGATTAGTGTAGCTTCACAGTAAGTCTTAATATACTATTTTTCCAAAGATATCCTTTTTTAAAGGTATTTTAGGTATTGTAACTGCTTGGCTCTTATAAATTTTTTTATGTATCTATAAAGTTCTGAGATTTTTATTGGTATTACATAAAATCTATATGACCCTTTGGAGAGAATTAACATTGTATCATTGTAATTCTCTTCATTAATTTAGGTTCTTTGAAAATTTTCAATTTATTGGGGTGACTTTGCTTAATAAGATTATATAAGTTTCAAGAATACAATTCTATGACACATGATCTGTTTATTGAATTGTGTGCCTATCATCCAAGGTCAAATCTTCTGTTACCATATATTTGCCCCTTTTACCCTTTATTATCTCCAACCCCATTTCCTCTAGTAACCACCATACTGTGGACTGACTTTTTGGATGTTTTTTATTTGTTCATTTGTTGCTTTTAGTTTTTTTAATTGAATTTATTGGAGTGACATTGGTTTGCAAAATGATATAGGTTTCAAGTGTACTATTCAATAAAACATCATCTGCAGGGATTTATAAACATCATTCTCCAAAGGGAAGATCCATTAGCTTTGCATCAACCACAAAGGAAAGGTTTATAGATCCAGTAAATAGGACTTCTTTGCTTTCATAAAAGACTGAAATCCAGAGGTGTCTATGGTGTCACATGTAGGAGGGTTACTCAGATAACACTTCATTAAAGGATATAATTGGAATCCCAAAGGCATATTTTATGATAATAAAAGGCTAATATGCAAATTGATCGAACAGCAGAATGACCGGTCGCTATGACGTGCACTGACCACCAGGGGGAAGATGCTCAATGCAGGAGCTGCCCCCTGGTGGTCAGTGTGCTCCCACAGGGGGAGCGCCACTCAGCCAGAAGCCGGGCTCATGACTGGCGAGTGCAGCGGCGGTGGCAGGAGCCTCTCCCGCCTCAGTGGCAGCGCTAAGGATGTCCGACTGATGGGTTAGGCCCACTTCCTGTGGACTACAGGAGTTACACTTTATTATTAAATTCTGTGCAGGCCCAGAGGAAAATGTGTCTTTCAAATTCTGGGCCCCCAGTATGGAGGAAACTCTCTTTATTTATACTTTTTCCAGTCCTTTGTCTCCCAAATTTGGAATGAGACTT